TCCCATCTTGGATTATCGCTCGCCCTGCAGTACTTGCGTCGATTCCAGGTACGCTGTCGCTTTTCCAGGAACTTAACGTGGAGGTGCACTAAGCGTCTCCCCCGATTGGTAACTAAGAAGTCATCTCAGGCCTCGGTGAAGCAAGCCCACTAGAATGTCCTGTGTGCGGAACCAACGCACACTTGCCCTAACGACACTGAGCTTCAGCGGAAAATCATCACGACCGCCAGGCAAAAGGCAGGACCTTCTGATAGTGGCATTATCGGTTGTCACCAAATTAGTCACAGGACAACCGAGAAGTCGGTGAACCTATGAGAACGCAGAAGAAAACTCCTGGCTGGTTCCGAGCACAATATGACAAAACAGACTAGTAGGCGCGAAATAAAGTAGAGCCTGCGTGTTGACAAGGAAGCCTGGAGGAATACTAGGGCCTAGGAAATGTAGGAAGCAGTAGCAGTAGACAATTCTAGCTAGCTCTTCCAAGTGGTCCGCATCAATGAGCCCAGGAAACCAGGCATCAGTACGACAAGCAGAGACAGTGCAATTTCACTGATCCACAATAAGGGGCGCCGTATGGCCCGCTGAAAGGAGCGCACACAAGATCAGTTAAGCGATCCCCCTGGTTCCGGACATTTCCCAAGTCAAGTGATGCAGGATGAGTTATGGACGGCTAGTTTGGAGGCTCCATCGGATGTTAAGATCCGAAACGCGATAACCATCTGCGCTATTTAAGTGTATCGAAATCCTCTGCAAAGTACGTATGTCCCTGTTCGAAAATATTTGGAAGGAGGAGACTGTCCCGGCGAAATGGAGTGAATCGATTATGGTGGCAATAAAAAAGTAGGGCAATCGAACAGACTGTGCTAACCACAGGGGTATTAGCCTAACGCCCGCAGTGAAAAAATTATTGGCCACGATTCTAGTTAGTCGCCTCATTGCTTTGAAATCCACATAGTCTCCGCTGGGGCGAGAAATAAGTTCCTCGGCGTTCTGGATACCAGAGGTCGCACAACCGACTCATCATTTCCAGTGGCTAAAAGCCAACAGCTAACACCACGGACATCGGATCAGTCATATATATATATATATATATATATATATATATATATATATATATATATATATATATATATATATATATATATATATATATATATGGTTTGCGGCATTCCGTTCCGGCCTCTATAGAACAACCACAGCATCCCTGCGCCTACAGAGGGAGCATGTGTGGCTTGCGCTGCATCACCCACAGCTTCATCTACACACCCCACGTCCAGTGTAAACCCGAGGGGATAAAACCAGGAGGCAAGTGGATATGAGCAATGTTTCATCAATGGGAATCTTGTGTACCAGACCTACAAGAGGTGGAGGCTTAGACGCAGCCCGTTCCACATTGGATGGAACCACTTTGAGCCTAGCATAGTCACAAGGACCGTGCACTCCATCTCAGCCCCTCGAAGCCAGTAATCGAGGTGGAGGGTGTTATCCAAGTAGGTACATTGTCAAAATTCACATCAAGCGCAGTCGCAGACCGGGGATGTTAGACGACTAACACAATTCGAAGGAAAGGAAACATGCAAAATTGGCAAAATATGCAGAAGAATAACAGAATTGAACAAATCAAATAAGGAGGAATAGTTCGATTGAGATTAAGAAGCATTTGGATGACACCACTGGTGATTGGGTGAGAAGAGTGGTAGTCACCCAAAATGGCTAGTTGAAAGCGATTGCCAGGATAGGAGGAAAGCCAAGGTAAAAGCGGGTTCTGGATTCTAAGGGACTCAACCTATTTTGTGTGGTACACAATCAAATGCTCTTTTGAGTGCAAAAATAAAAGTGTTATTGCATAAGTGGTGTCTATGGGTTCTGAAGTCTAGTTAAGGTTGTGTAGCTGGCAATTTGTGTAGGAGCGTCTATCAAGGAAATCATGTTGAGATGTGTTAAACAGGTTCAGAGAAGTAAGGAATTCCATAAACGTTCTCTTGACTACTCTTTCAAAGAGAATGGTGATAGAATGAGAGTAGAATGAAGCGGCCGGTAATTAGTAAATTTTTTTGGGACTGCTCGGGATGATGAATGAGGGTATCCACTGATCAGTAAAATGCCTATAGCTTGTAGCGATAAAGTGAACATGTTCAATAGAAGTAATGGAAAATCTGGTCTTCCCATTTTAATCGCAGCTGTAGGGATGCCGTCGGAGTCCAACCTGCGAGAAGGTTTGATAGTTTTATTAGCCGCTGAATAGTGCTGAGAGAAATTTCGACACTGCTAAGACTCTTGGTTGTTAGGCATTGAGGGCATTCCGATATGGGGTTAGATCCAAAAATCATGGAGGCAGCAGACGAGCTAAACGCCTCAAATGTTTACCATGTTCATCCAAGAGTCCCGCGAAGGGAGAAAAGCTGTTCTATTAAGAAGAAAAGCGACAAGCTTCTTTGTTTCGTTACCTGTTCGTAGAGCATTTTCTTCATTGCTTCTGAATCTCATCACGTGTGCATGTTTGATCCTACTGGCCCATTCGTGCACTTGCAATATTGCTGAAAAGTCTCCGGTTTCGCGAAAGCTTGCCGGCAATATTCGCATCCTTAGGGCCGTAGGGAATATGTTTACTTTGTGTATTAAGATGGGTTGTTACGGTATAGTGAATGTCAGCACAGCACTGTGCTACTGTTAGGCAAACATTGGTGGATAGGAAAAATGTATCCTAGTCGGCAGGTCGGACCAAAAGTTTGAGGTGCGCCCAGTTAATTACGTGGATGGATTAATATAAGAGCAGATTCTGTTTGACATCTGATCTGATACTGAAAATGAGTTGTAATATTTAGTGGTCACTACCTGCGAGACAGTTCAACACAGCGATGCTTGTGCAATGTAAGTTAAAATCGAAGCAAGGGCCCTAGGCCAGCAGTCGCCGTAAGTCTTCTGAGAGCGAACTTGGTACTGGAAGTACCATTATCATCATCAAAAGCAGTACATTGGCTATTTGAACTGATGCTTCGCTGCTATACAACCGTGGTGACCTGTGGAAGGAAGTATAATAAGAGGGACAGAAGGGGGATCTGGCGTAAAATCCTAACGCCCCAAGCAAACATTCAGGGTCAAGGTGTCTACACCTTGGCAACAAAATGCCATTACAAACGGCTGGTTATTGTGCAGAGCTAAGACGGTATCAGCCAGACACCTTCCTTGCGTCATAATCAGCCATTACCCCGCATATAACCCAGCATGAAACATGAAATAGATAGTCCGATTAGGATACGGCAGCACACAGGCCAGTGGCGCCGAGTCCGAACAATATCCTGTAAATTCTCGAGCCAAGCACAAGGCGGGTAACGTGAAAGCCGGCCTGGAAGGCGAGACGGAGCAATAACACGGAGTTTAGTTCTCAGTGACTTGATTTCTCACCATTAAGTCAACATTTGTCCACGTCGAGCCTTGAATCACCCTACATCTGGCAGACAAAACAAGAGCCTCTTCGATAAGCGGTGACTGAGTATATGTAGTATGTGCCCAAGCCAACGCAACTTATTCAGTGCTATCTGTCGTTCTAAGGAACTAGAATGATTGTCACTGCCTATCACTCGCCTACGCACATCATCGTTGCGGTCATGCTGGTGACACCCGAATTCAGTAATGCTCTGCGATGATAAAAGACTTGAAGGCACCTCAGATCTTCAGACCGAAGCGGCCAAATCTCACTACCATAGAGTGGGACGGTCTTATAAACACGGTCTTTCGAACGGAGGGAAACACCTTTGTTTCGCCAAACATGTCGCAGATTAAAAAAAGACAGTTCTGGCTTTTGCAATACGTGAGCTGACTGTAGTTTATATACGCCCATCGTTGCTGATACGGGTGCCAAGGTAAGTGAACTGAAAGTACGGTGGACTGTACCTGCCCCAACAAATAGAATAGAGCTCCGTATGGTTAGATGCAGTGGGACGCGGGTTACTTGTGTTCATGTTTTGGAGATACATTTTCAGTTCAGTTATACGGCTATGATCCGGGTACTGGAGTGAGGGGGATCAGGTTGCCACGACTATCGTCAATACGCCAACAGTAGATATCAATAATGAAAAAATAACGTAGAACGTAAATACGATTCGAAAAAGAAGAGGAAATGCGAGAAAAAAGTGGACAAAAGTAACCGCAGTGAAATATTAACATATGAATGCAAGTGCGCCAGTGACCGCCCCTCAGTGCTATGTCCAACAGCGTCTCCGACCACTGAGGTGGCCTGAGATACTTGCTACAAAATTCAGTGTTACTGTAGCCACAGTAAGCATTGAATGCCGACCGATTTGACGAAGAATGTGGATGTCGAGACACTGCGTAAGTTGGTTCATTCAGTCGGAGAAAAATATGGGCCCTGAACGAAGCCAAAGGCGAGCTCTGGGTGGTTTGATTGGGGAGGTGTGACATGCGAATAGAGAGAAAGAGTTGTAAACGAATAATAGCGACAGAGTTCTATGGGCAGGTAACACTTTAACTACCTGTTTCAAGAGAGAAAAAGAAGTCCGATACGATCTGGGAACATGATGTGTTAACTTGCATCTACAAAGCAAGCAAACAAACTTTGAGAAAGGTAACAAGGTTTTAGAGCAAGGCGTTATTGAATGTATAACCCGCGCTGTTGCAACGCGATAAAACGTCATTCAGTTTTGAGTATTGCGTGGTTCTACTATGCCACTCTTTCAGATAAACTCTAGATAGAATGAACACTGTTGCTAGTAAGAAAATACTTTTTTTAACCGTTCGACATGAAGCATCCTTTCTCACTCCCCAAAGATGACCCAGTAACAAGTGATAAGTTTGGCGCACATATTCGTAGTCGATGAACACACGCTAATGAATAGGCGGAAAATAATGTAGTGAATCGTGTGATCAGGTCCGAGGCAACTCGATGGGTGCAAGCAAGCACACCAAATTTAACTGAATATATAGTGGATGCTGATAAGAAAAAGGAACGTAGCTAAAAGGTATTCAGATGCGTAGCTTACCTCACCAGAAATAGATGAAAATCGTCGTCGCTGCACAAGAACGGAGGGATTAGAAAGATGCTTCCTGTTGAAACAGGTAAAATGGCAAAAGTGGGAATAAAATGCCCCGTCACGCATGGTTCGGTTCATTGACAGATCTGACAAAAGATGATAATCCGCATGATAGCAAAAAATAATGATAAAGGTGACCCAGAAAATACAAAGGCGAGAGATGAGGACGAGAGGTCGGGAAGATGATTCTGTTACACAATCATAATTTGGGCTGGCTAGCCGAACAACCTCGTGGTGCCAGCTGGGTGGTTCCGGTTTGTCCCGTTCAAGCAAATAGTTCGGCGGCAGTGTTCCAGGATGTGGTGCGTTTTCGATTGGCAAGCGTTCGCCCTATAAAAACCCACAAATGTCCATTTAACAATACTGGGACGTGGCTGTTGTGACTCGCCACTCAATATAGCCACTGCCCCTAGCTTCATAATGACGAAACATTGTATATCAGCAACGTAATGCTCATCCATACAATCACTGCAAATCCACGGACGTCAAGCATGTATTTAGCATTGGCGACACGCTCAGACACCAGCAAAACCTTTACAAAGTCAAGCAACACACCTACACGCACATATAAATACATTCATGTATTAACATATATGACATTCCTATGACAATCCTATTGTACCTTTTTTGATCACCTGTTGCACTCTTACCATGATCATGCCTGTGCTGGCTTACCTCGCTTAGCCGAGAATAAAAGTTTATTTATTTATTTAGTATTTGTAGAGAATGACCAAACAGTAGTCGATAAGCAATAATTTTGGTATCAAGTGCGCGGCATCATCACCATCACACGTTAGCTAAAGGTGAGAAACATCTTAGTTATTGGGCCACAATACAAAGACATGAGATATATGAAAAAGCAAGATGTTAAACATTACATAACACAAAACCTAAGAGACGGATAATTTAATGATGTATCATATTATGCATCAGATGTGAGATCTTGGTTGGAAGGGGGAGCTAAGCGAGATGGAGAGAGACAAAGGAACCCACAACACAGACGCCATTTATTTGACCCTTAGTCATGTCAATAAGCGCATCCAACCGGTGTTCATCGTTCTTCGGATCCCAGTTGGGTAGTCAGGAGACATCAACCGGCGTCAAGTTCTAAGTGATGGTCAGCTAAGTTCGAAGTATGTGACTACGTAAACTTAATCGATCAGGATTAGTCCGTGCTCGGTATTCGCTTAAAGCTCATGTCAGGCAGTACGTAATTGTGCACGCCGCCGTCAAGTAATGAGCCGACGGATCCTTACTATTCCTAAACTCTCTCCGTCTATAATGTGACCTTTAACCTGATGCCGTGTCAGATTGCCGCAAACGCTCCACAGCTATGAGCATATTGGTGAGCTTAAGACAGCCCCGTGGCGGGGCTGTATGCTATCGGGAGCATCCCCAGGTTGCGGATCGGGGAATGCCTTCCTTGTAGAGGTAACTGCGAATAAGTCTCGTTTGCTTTGCAGGCGAGACGAATAAACAGTCGCGGACAATCACCAGCAGCGTCTCAGAACGTGGGGAGTTATGGGCTAGTCACCTGGTTCTCCAATAAATACCACAAGTGCTCGTACGGCGCCGTGTCAAAGCCAATGTGACCGGCTATAGGGTCACTGACCACTCACTCCTGTAACTGAGGGTGAGTATCTAACCGAAGACGGATGAACAACCTCGCTGGCCACCGGCTTCTCTGTGGAATGCTTCCGAACACAAAGAAAGCGAATAAGCCATTTGGCTGTCAAGGGTGTTCGTGAATCATCCCGCTGCTTTGCGGGTCAGGTCTTTAGACCAAAGGCTCGGGATGGAGTCCCTTGAGTCGAACTTCCTCGACCTGGGCAACTGGGAAGCTCAATGCCCACATAACACATGGAACTTTGCTTTCATTCCGCTGACTCACTCTCGCCTTTTTGTTATGGTTATTCATGTGTTGTGGCACACTCCTAAATGTTTATTGGGCAAGTGTTAAATATATAAATATATATGATAGTAAAACAGCACAACATTGCCTGTCATTAGATGATTCCTTGCCTATTGTGTGCCGAATAAAACTTGCTAACTTCTGCCATGATGTAATGAGAAAAAGGACAGGTTCCGCATCAATAAAGTTCCGAAGTACCGTTTCTAATTAGCCACAAAGAGGCAAGTTTCACTCTAACTGTTCCATGTTCGTTCAGAATAGGTCATCGTTGTCACTCAACCGATCGCAAACCGAAAAGCCTTATCCTTCGGTCCTGATTTCAAAACGTCACCCCGTCATATACAGAAAGGTTCCTTTGATGCAAACTTTGAGAATTTATATAGTCAAGTTAATTCGCTGACTTCAACATCAACCGATAGTGACGCTTGGTTCAAAAACAAACTGGTAGACATATCGCACAATTTTTTTCAACATTCAAATACAGCAGCGGATATGTCTCACTGTAGATCACCACAAAGTGCTACGTGAGCTAGAACGAAGGATAGGTGTGATTATTTTGAAGCCTGATAAGGTCTGTGGAGTGGTCATTGTTGACAAACCTGTTTATCTACTCAAGATGGAGTCAGTATTGCCGAATACCACAAAATTCAAGCCAGCTACTGCTTTCGACACAATCCGGTTGGTCGAGAAACAATTGTGTGGTGAATTACAGCACTTACTGGTACACGGTTTCATCTCAGAGGATGAAGATAAAAAGAAAAACCGGTGGGCACCCAGACTCCACAAATGTATGATTTACCAAAGATGGGCAGAAGAATCCATGCGGCCAATAATCTCCATGGTGAACTCGCTGTACCATATCATTGCGAAATGGTTGAACTGCATGCTTGAGCCTATGAGAAGATTCGTTTTAAAACACTCTATCGAACACCTTCGGAGTACTTCCCTGTTTGGAAAGCATAAACTTGGTTCACAAGCGCATGTCTTCTCTTGACGTGCAGTCGCTTTTCATTGAACGAGACTGTCGATCACTTTATGTGAGTTTATCACCAAAAACAACATTCGATTACAGCTGCCCATGGAATTGTTGAAAAACGTGTTCCCACTGTGTACAAAAGATGTTAAGTTTTACTTTCAAGGAAAAGCATATCGGTGGATCGATGGTGTGGCTATGGGCAGCCCATGATGCCGCTTGCTGGTGGACGTATCTTTGGGCATGATTGAAGAGAAAGTAGACATCATCAAATCAGTCACTTTATATAAACGCTATGTTGACGATATACTATTAGCCGTGGATTCAGATGAAGACATTGCACTTGCAACCAAAGCGCTCAACAGTGTACACCAGAATCTTACTGTGACATGCGAAACTGAGCATGACACGTCTCCCATACTTAGAAATACTGCTCACACGACGGCCAGATGGTTCAATCCAAAGGTCAGACAACCGAAAAGCAACCCGGACGGAGCAATACTTACACTTTAAGAGCTTTTAGCCGGTAAACCACAAGCGTTCCTTAGTTCGAACTTTGTTCCATCGAGCTCATAAGATGTGTATCACAGATACACGGAAAGCTGAGAAAGAATTATCGTTTCAGGTGTTATAAGTCAATGGTTATCCACTACAGTTCATAAAGCATTACAGCGACACAGTGAAACGAGATCGAGAGATAACGGTTCAAAAGGAAACCGGTTTTCATTGAATTGTCATTCAAAGGTGACCACCTCATGAAAGTCACCGCGAAACGAATGGGCGCCTCAATGAAAAAGGCATACAATGCAGTGAAGCTACGCATGCTTATGTCCACAAGACCACTACTTAAGTGTTCACTGAAGACACTGGTGCCGAAGCAGTGCAATCCCATTTTCTATAAAAATTCATATGTAGCTGCGAGGTCAGCTATGTTGGGCGCACTGATCGAAATCTAGGTGTCCGGATCAACGAACACATTACGAAATGGCTCCGCAAACGGGTGGAACTTGCGACGGTTTCACCGGGTGAATCGAGTAGTAAGGTTGCCTCAGCAATTACGAGGCAAATGCTGAACACCGGGCATCAGGTAAATCCGGATGAATCATTTAGAGTCAGCATGCGCAGCCAAAGACCTCAAGCTTCTCAAGGCCATTGTTATCGATAGACAACGCCAAACGCTCTGCGTTCAAAATAATCTGACCGTGACGCTAAGCCTTCCGGAGTAGAGAGTAGCGCACAATCGTTATTTAGTTGACCAACAGTTGGGTTTATGTGATCATAATTTGTTTTTTTTTGTTATTTGCATGTACGTGGTCGATGAGAATGCGCGATATAACAAAATCATCCTACAACATTCATCTTATGATATTCTTATTTGGAATTATAAAGGGAAATGCATGTTTCAAATTTCTTGCTTCAATCAAACTGGTCGTATCGTCGGGCAGCCACTCGGCACTTAGACGAAATAAATTTCGTAATCGGATTTAAGGGTGTTCTTCAAAGTATTTGGAATGCGGTTCCCTATAGCACTCAAGTTGCTTAAATCGTTCGTAGATGCTGACTGGTGTTACAGCTAGCATTGATAGATGGGTACGGTAAATGGGTTCAAGTGACGTGTGTGTGATCTCGAGGTTGCACGACCTAATGAGGTCTGATGAGCGGGCACAATGCTATCGTATGTTAAGACACTATCTAAATTTGATCAAGCGCTTCAAATTAACCGGCAATACAGCACTGACATGCACCGTCAATGTCTGGTGATGATCCGATCAATGTCAAGCTGGGAGGCAAGGAGATGCGATCGGAAAGAACGAACAATAGACAAAGATAGTTGTCATCAAAACGAATGATATCGACCTCAAAATATCCGTCTGGGTTTCGTTGGGTATTTATATCATTTGTTAAGACACCTTATCAGCAGCCCGTGTCATACGGTCAGAGGATGAGTTGTTGATAGAATATACTACTGAAAGCCACCGAGTTACAGTCGGTGAAACGTACATCAAAACGACTGAAAGAGTATTGCGTCTTCTAAGACTGCTCGTAAACTCCGATACAAACCAGGAAACAAAACGATTAAATGCAGTTATGGCCTGTGTGAATTAGGTGTCTGATCCGTGGTCAAAAG